GGAGGTGGCGGATCTGCCTGATACGTGCTTGCTTGAGGAAGGTTTTGCGCCCAGTACAGGGCAGCTGTGGTTTTTGTTTGTTTTTAATCCTACTTTTTAAGGGCAAAAAAAAAAAAACCACCCTTCTAATCCATCCTAAACCATTGCTGTTTCTTAGGTACAACCAGCTTAAGCTGACTATTGCAAATGGAATATGGCACCAGTTAAAAAGGGAAGCAATGGTCAGGTGTAACATATATAAGATAGAAATGGACAGGCAGTGGAAATTACCAATTCATAATTACAAATAATTATGTACTTTACAATTTTTACATAGTTAAAGTATTAAATTACATGACTTGTGGCTAATTACATAATTACGGATAATTGGAACAAATTCTGAGTTACCAAAGGAATTCATGGCAGTTGTGTTATAAAGCAGCACATTTTTCAAATATTAGTAGGAAAAAATGCAAGATGGAACTGGTAACACTATTAAGTGCTTACATTTTCCATATTGCTGTTAATCTTTACACAGTATCTGGGTCGGTTATCCTACTGTTTTTCATGTAATTGAGCTAGAACAGCAAGTTTGGTGTTTTTAATGAAGGAGTAAGTGTTGTCTTTCTGAACAAAGAGACTCCCGTTTAAATTAGGTTAGTTCCTTGTCGCTGCTTTTAACCATTTTGGAAAATGGAGAAAATGCAGTAGGATTAGAGGTAATGCAAATGTTCTTCCTGTATTTGGAAAGATGAAGTGTGTTGGTGGTGGTGGTGGTGGGGGGAACACAACAAAAAAACAGCTTTCTTGAGCTGATGTCAGTTGTAGGTGAAAAATAAAATAAAATGAACAAATCAGAACTTTATAAAAATTAGATACTGCAAACACAATAAATGTTTGTAGACCTTAAGGCCAGGCACCATACCATTGACAAAGTTGTGGATTTTATTTTTGTTTGTTTGTTTTTAACAAACATAGTATCCTTTCTTTGGAGAGGATTACAAGATCTGGTTAAGGAAGTCAACTATTAATGCAGTTACTATCACATACTTGAAATTCTCAGAGGAATTTGACTTAGTATGATAGGACATTTTGATATATGGCTGTTATATGGCATTAAGGCAAAATCTGAGAATGAGCTTAGGACCAAATCTTGCATCTCAGTTATTAACAGGAAGACATAAATGAGTGGGTTATTTCTAATCAGATCCTCTCCGTACCAGTTTTTTGTTCAAATACTAATCTATCTTAATGACTGACTTAAATTATAGAAGAGATGGTCTATAACCTTTGCTATTCAAATTTGCTGATCATGGGTTGGTGGGATGGTCAGTGACAAAGATGTTGCTGCTATAGCATGGTTTGAGCCTCCTGATTAAATGGTTCCAAGAGCAGGAAGGATCTTAATATAGTGAAAAAGAACATGTTGAGTCCAGAAACCAATACTGCCACCTCTTTAGGGCAGGAAACTGTTAGACAGTGACTTGTGGGATGTAGCTGCATTGCAGCTTAAGTGTTGTGGGAAAAGAACTGATTTTATTTATTTAAGAGAATCAAATTGAAGTTATTATGTTTGCGCATACAGTGGTGTTAGAACCGTAACTGGAACATAATGTCCAGTTACAGTAGCTCTTCAAGTAGGATATGAAAATACTGGAGGGCTCAGAAGAGGCCACCACAAAAATGTTCTGGATCTGGAAAACAAAGTATGTTTAAAAAAACCCCAAAACCTCAAAAAATCAAAAAACAAAACGAACATTAATGAACTCAGTTTATTCAGGCACATCCAAGATAAGAGGATGAAGAAGCGACTCAGTCACTCTGTGGAAATCCATGCCTGTGGAAAAAGTTATCTGATAGTGGAATATTTTTAGTCTTTTCAACAAAGATATAATGAGATCCAGTAACTGGAAGTCAAGGCTACACAAAATTCTTTTAAACATGATACAATTTCCTAGCAGTGATGGAGGCTAATTATAGGGTTAGTTTACTGGAGAGGTTAAAGGCTTTGCATTACTTGGAGCCTTTAAGCTGAAATTAGATAACATTTTACAAGAAAGGCTTAAACTTGGATACTCGGGGAGCTTATCGGTACAAGGGTGTCCATGTGGTTTGGGGGAAATCAGTGAGATTCAGTAGCCCTTCTAGAGATTTGTCATTCTTAGTCTGCTTGCTCATCCTCTTTACTTGACTGCAGAAATAGCAGAATTTTTGTCTTGCTTAAAAGGGATTTAGTTCTAAATTAAGATAACTAGTCTTGTACTTTTGGATGCTTTGTAGGGGTTAAGAAGTTTTTTTTATTATTCTTTAGAGGAGAATTAGGTTAAGATAGTATACTTCTTCACTAGTCTGTAAAACATCAGAGTTTGGATGCTGAGATGGGCAAATCAGTGCGCAATACTAGTTCAGAGAATCCCCTGCCTCGTTGTCAGTTTGCTACATCTTCCTCATGTTTGCAGCTGGAGCTAGGTTTAAGGTTAGGAAGGGGTTTTCACCCAGGACTGATTCCTATGGTATCATACAAGCTTTTCATCTTCAGCAAGAGAGTAATCTTCATGCTGGAACTTTCTGGCCCCTTATTTTATCTCATCAGTTTCTCATAAAGGGATCTTGGATCTCTGTCTCAATTTATTGTTTTGATAGGATTACAGTGCCTTCAGTTAGTAGGTTGTGTAAAAGGGCATTGGTTGATGAGCTCAATTAGAGAATCTGTTGAATCACCCTGGCCTCTGACTCTGAAATTATGACTTTCTATTAAAAAGTCTCCTGTGACTCCATGAATGGTGAAACCCTGCCTCTTTTGTAGCACTTGCGTTTCAGCGTGCTTTGAGGCTGTGTTGCCTCCCTGGTTTTCTATGGAAACAGTGACTTGCTCATGACCATGTGTCAGATTTTTGGCACAAGTGTCACTAAAATCCATGACTTGTGCCACTTTTTTCTTACTCGCTTGTACTTGCTCATGCACGAGCAGGTAGAGCAGGAGTAATCGGAATTTTTAGTGTGTAGAGAAGAACCAGTAAAATGTATTCTGGAATACAAGTCGATCTATCAGAACATCTCTTTGGAGTGTTTGAGGCAGTAATTTTATTAGAAATAATCATAACGGATTCACCTGCACAAAATTTTGTTGATGCTTAGTTTAGCAGTTACAGCATACTCTTCTCAGCAGTCTTTATTGGAGAAGTTGGATATGTTCATCATATGAAACTGTATCAGACCAACATGGGGTGCACAGAGCACGCAGCTCAGAGAGCGCAACACAACATTACAAAATATTCCTTTTCCAGGGACACAAAGTAGCACTGGTCATTAGTATGAGCCATGTAAATATGAATTTGCAAAGCTGAAATGTGTAATTTCTGTTGTGCTCCAAAGTCAGCTTGAAGAGGAGTGAAAGAGAAGTGGGAGATTGTTCTCTGCAGTGTGGTGCACTCTCTTTGTTAGACTATGCAAGGAAGCTCTTTCATGTTATAGCTCAGATCTTAATGTAGAGGTTGTAGATACGGGGACGCAGGACGTTGTTGCGATGGGGCCAGACTCTTCTCGGTGGTGCCTAGTGACAGGACGAGAGGCAGTGGGCGCAAACTGCAACACAGGAAGTTCTACTTGATCCCAAGAAAATTTCCTGTGAGGGTGACTGAGCACTGAGACAGGTTGCCTGGAGAGGTTGTGGAGTCTCCGTCCTTGGAGATGCTCAAAACTTGACTGGACACGGTCCTGGTCAACTTGCTCTAAGTGACCCTGCTTGAGCAGGGGTGTTTGAACTAGATGATCTCCAGAGGTCTCTTCTAGCCTCACATGTCCTGTGATTCTGTGATACCTCTGCTTACAGTTGGTAAGAACTGTAGGAGAAGCAGGGTCTGTGCATTTGTACTCTTTGACCGAAGCAATTGCTCAGATGATAAAGTAACATTAGCCCAACTTGCATTAAATACTTGCCTATGTGTGCAGTGATGTAGCCTGGGAGGAGAGGGCCATGAGGGATAGGGGATATGTGGCAGCAATGTCCCACCAGCAGAGCCTCTGAAGGGCAGATCACCTCTGAGGTATATGGCAAAGTGTTTGAAAAACATTTATTGGAGTTTCTTAAGGATGGTGTTCTCCTGAACCAAGTGCCAATAATTTGATTCAAAAGCTAATTCCTGAGCTTGTGTTCTATGCCAGTGGCTCTAAAATAATTCATGTTCTTCTGCAGCTCTCTGAGTATGCTTAATGCTATGCAGCCAAATAATGAGAGCCTGCTCAAGCAGCTCCTTGCTCTAATTGCACACCCTAGAGGAAGGGATGACAAAAACTAACTGCAAAGCATGTGAGAGGAATAGAATTACGTTAACAGAAATAAGATACACTGAGCACTGAACATCCTGATGCTTCCCATTTTCATCTTTAACTGAATTAATGTCTAGTAAATTAATGTAATGTAGGAAGAGCTATGGTGGAGGTCAGTGATGAAAGCTTGAAAAATTCTTCAGGGAGAAAATGAAAGAGGAGAGAGTCTGCATGGGATCAGGGAGGGTTGAAGAGAAACTCCAGTTAGATTTGTATTGAGAGAGAAGGCTGGAACGCTGTTTTCCCAGGAAATAAGTCTGTTTCTCTTGTGAACTCACATGTGGTTTTGATGTTGCAACATGACCCTATGGCATAACAGGGGCCTGGAAGGTGAGAGCCTTGTCCAACTGTTTGAGATCGAATAGTGTATCGTTTCCCAGCTCTGCTAATTCAATGCTGGATGATTTTGGGCAAGTAGTGCTTTATGATCTACAGATAAAAATCAAGTTAAAAATTCCCAGGCCATGTAATTAATAGCTTCTTTTGTCTCAGCTTTGCCACTCACTTAGGATAGCACTTTGGGCATAGTCCTTGGTGTTGGCTATTAGTAGAATTAGGCCAATTTGAGGGTGGAGGTAGTTGCTATTTTCAAATAAACTTCTATATAAGGTTGGAGGAACAAAAATCCTGTGTTATGAATTTTTCCTACAGAGAAAATTCAACCATCTCTGAGTTTGTCTCATAGGTGGACCAATGAAACTGATGAAAGATGAAGTGTTTCAGAATCTGGTTATACAAGAAAAAACTAAAACTCCTCATCTTCTGTCCCATCACCTACAAAACATAACAGTCCCATTCTCTCTCTGAGTAATATATCACGCTGGCACGAAGCTGTGTGTTAATCCTACTTCAAGTTGTAATAACGGGGATTTGGAAGGAGAAGGGAGTTGCTAATAAGGAAAATGTAAACATAAATGATGGAAGAGTTAAAGGAAAGAAGTTCTAATTTATGTTGCATAAACATTTAAACAGCAATGGCACCAGAACCAGTTCTGAAATGGATATATAAGGTAAGGATAGCGTTGGTGTCCTGATACAGAACTAGGAGCTGCTATTCCTAGAGGTCTGGCCACTGCTAGAGATGACACTACTTTTTCTTTGAAAGCTACCAACTCCTTATTTTTATGTAGTGGTACAGAAACCAGGTTTTCTACTCATTGCTTCAGTCTTAAGCCATTGTGGAGTCTACTGATGAAATATATCTGCAGGTTTCCACCAGTGTAGGTGAGATCTGTTCCCTATTAGTTTTACTAAGTACATGTTGCTGAGATCAGTGTTATGATGACTCTTGTTATACGTTCCCAAGCTGGAGTGAGAAAAGGCTGGTGTATCACATGTTCCTTCTCTTCTTGTTGCTTCTTCAATTGTGCCAAGGGTATATCCAGATTTCAAGTTGTCTAAATATGTGGCTACTGTCATTTTAAAAAACATTCTTTTCTAATTAAAATAATGCTGCATTTTTTTCTGTTTCAGGGTTAGCTATACCTTTGCAATACAATTTGTTCTTGATTGTTGCTGGTGTTTCCTTTGAAAAGCAGAATACTTCACAATAAAAGGGATTACCCTGATAGCTATGCACGCAGCTGTCCTGTTTAGTTACCAGGAGGCACTGTATCCTTCATTGAACTTCACTATTTTAAACATTTGTCAAATGTGAATTACCTTTTCTCAGTTAATAACTGTATTCATTGTCGTACTTTAAAAAAAAAATATCACAAGGTTGTGATTTTTCTGGTAGCAGCCATTATAGCTTAGGTTGCAAAATATTTTAATTTTCAATTCTTGCTTTTTCTTGATCTTACATTTTTGTAAAATCTTCATTCTATATTGAAACTTTCTGCTATATAGTTCTGAAGGCACTTTATTTTTGAATCTCATGCAGTTTCATTGACTCCTGTTTGGGCTATGTGTTCATGAAAAAAAAAAAATCCCTTTTTAAAAATATCCAGGACACTGTCTATCTACTGCTGATCTTTTTAATGTCAAACTCTGCCTGAACCTCCTCAAGGAATAAGTTGTTATGTCAGGGAAAAAAAGTTGGCTGGAAAATAACAGTACTTGGAGGAATGTTTGAAAATATGGGAGAAAGCACAGGAGGAACTTTGCACTGCTTGGGAAACATTTACTGTATAAAATTGATCCACATGGGTTTTGTTAGATTATACAATTGTCTGTACATTTTTCTGAAAGTATTCCTTGGGGACTGAAATCTCACGTTGTTACGAAAGAAGGGAAATTGGTTTAGCTTTTTGAAATAGGGAGTGCAATTTTGCTTTTAATGATAAATAGCTACAGTTGCAGACTGTGCAAAGCAGGTTTTTAATAGGCAAGTAGTTGAAAGCCTCATTGTTTTTTGGTTTTGTAAGCAATCGTTGCTACTAGTTCATTCAGATGAATGGGAGTGGAGATGTTCTGTTTGTCAAAATGGATAATCTGTGGAACAGGGCAATGGTTCTATTAAGAATGTTTTATAACATCTTTGTATCATTTTTGTTAATCTTTTGTGACTCTTAGTCGCGTGATCTTAACGTTACAGTAATTAACAAGAAGTAAAATAAGTATGTAAGGCCCCAGTTCAAGAAAATATTTAAGTATTTACTTGAATTCACGTTTTTCCAAGATGGCACTTAAATAGGTGCTTAAGTGCTTGGTTAAATTAAGATTGCTTCAGTGGAACTTAGGTGTTGTGCTGGTAAGTATGCACAAAGCTGCAGATGTTAACAGGCCTGTTTGATTCCTTGCAGATCTGTGGTCACAGGAGAATTCTCCAGACAACGCTGCAAATAACACGTTCACATCCTCCTTTGGGGGTAAGTTTGCTGCCTTGGGACCTGAGCCTGTTTAAAAGTGTAGTTTGACAACAGGGGGGGCAGTACGGTTTAAGGAGTTCCTGCCCCTTTCTAATCTGTCTTATCTGGACTTTTGAAAACTTTTTTTTAATTTTGGTCACTTGTTTGATCTCTTTCACCTTAGGCCTATAGTCTGGGTGTTCAAGGGACAACTGAGCCTTCGTGCAAAACGGGTGGGAGGGAGAAGGCAGCAACTGCTTAGGCTGGCATCACTGCTCAGACCCCTACACTGAGAAGCTATACCCTCAGTGGATGTTTGTAGGTAGATCAGTAAATGGAACAGTTTCACTTTGACAATTTGACATTGAGATCATTAAAACTGGTTTCTGTTCTGAGAATCAGTATCAGTTTTTCCATATGGACTTTTTCTTTGAAAGTGGTACAACTGTCTTGTGTTTGTAGGATATTTTATTAGTGTACTGTGCTTTTGTAGGTAGGTGAAAGCGAACTTGACCATAGAACAAGTACCAGTTGTACAAACTTGTGGCAGATACTGTTTCATCATTGTGCTTTGTGTGACCACTCTTAAAAGAAGGCATCTCTCCAAAGCAATATTTTTATGCTGTAGCAATGTATTAGCGAATAGACTTATGAGGATTCCGCTTTGATTTGTGAACTTCATTTGTGGTTTTTTTTTCACTTCTTTTTTAAGGGTTGATTTAACTACCTCCCATGTGGAAAAGTTACCCTGCAGTTCTCTACAGATATAGTAAATTGCATAGAACTCTGTTTATCTTGGAAAAGTTGTGCTGGGTTAGCTGCCCAGGGACCTGAGCTTTGTTTTACATGTGAGACACTCTAGCCTATTTTTTTTTTTCCTCATCTGGTTCACTATCCTTTCTTCTCTCAGCATAGGAGAACTTCTCCCATCTTTCTTTTTAGTACCACTGCCTACCAAGATATGTACTAATGAAGGTCTGCATAATACAAGGAAATCCAAAGTGTCTGTGCAGGAACATGTTCCAGTTAGTTTATATGATGTTTTCCCCATTGGTTCAAACGGAAATGAAGTGTGGCATTTAATGAGAAGTGTCTGGAAAGTCTCGTTTCTTTTTTTTTTTTTTTTTTTTCCTAGTCTCTCTTGTACATGTTCTGAAATGGAACTGTGGTTTCGTTAGAGGGCACTCTTTAATAACATGTAGTGAGACTGCTGTTTTGGATAATGTTCACCATGTCCTGTTCAGAGAAAAAGTACTAATGGAAATGTAGTTATTTATTTGCTGCTCCAGAGTAGAAAGCATAAGGCCTGAGGCAATGAAGTATATAGCATAACCTTATGATGCTAGCAGCAGGCAAGACTGACTATATTGTGGGCTTATCTGATACTTGTGTTGTATATGGAAGATAGCAGCAATCTATTAGTTAATTCACCATACTTTGCCAACTGTGGAATAATTTGTTTAAATAATGTGCTTTTCTCATGGCCTTTACCCTATCAACTGCCTTGATCCTAGATGTGTGCTCATTTAAGAACTATTTTTTTCATATGACTGCCATCATCTTCTTAAAAATCCTTCAGAAACAATAAGCTGCTTCAGAAGACTTGAGAAACCCTTAGATTTCAATTCCAGCCCTTACATCAGTTCCTTCTGTGCCTTTGACAAGTTACTTATTATGTATTCTTTCACTTTTCTTGTGAAATAAAGAGGATAATGATTTTTACTTTGGGAGAATTAAGCAATGTATACAAGTGTGCTTTGAAACTTGAAGTGTTTTATAATTTGTTAAATATAATTAGTATCTTGAACAAAACAGGAGTCAGGGAAGTCAGATTTAAGACCATGATTATTACTCAACTTCTTTGGTGCTTTTTTTAATTTGGGCAAGATTATAGAGCCAGATCATTTTCATTAGTTTTGACTTTTCTTGATGTTGTTTGTTTTTTGTCTAGAGAAGCATTCTTCATATACAGGAGTCAGATTGTCTATAAACCTAATTTTAAGTTTTCCTAAAACACATCTTATTTTGTTTTTAAAGTAGCGTACTAAACTGGTGTAACTTGACACATTTTTTGAGCAATTAGCACTGAATCATACCCACACTGCATAGGCTTGGCTAAAATGAAGTGCATATTTCCTGTGCTGGAACCATGCCTATGTAGCGTGTATCTGAGTTGCAATATATTGCTTTGCTTAGCCTTTAAATTCCCGTTTCTGTCTTAGCATTTCTACTTCTAGCTGGATTCTGTGTAGCCACTTGTCAGTGGTACTCATGTGCTTTTCAAAGATGAGAAAAGAGGTGTTAAGTAAGGATGTGACTTGCTTAAGGTCACAGAATCAGGCAGTAACAGATTTACGAACAGAAACCAGTTCTTTTGATTGCCTGACCGTTTTCTCCTTAGTGGGAAATATTCCATCCAGCTGAGACTGGCAGACATGTCTGACAAAGTTTAGTTTTGCATCTCTGAGAGCTGACAGCTTTATGATCTTGGATAATGGATGGTGACACTGACAAACAGTTTATCATACCAGATTCTGTGCTATAGCCAGAGTATCATTCTTTGCTTGGTATCCTAAAGAATTACGTAGTGCTTCTGTGAACTCCTAATAGCTACATGGGACTAAAATTAAAACAGAATAAGAAAAAGGCAGTACTTGTGCCATCTTTTTCCTCTCCTAGCTTACATCTCCTCTTGCATCTGCCCTTTCTTTCCTGCTAGCATAGCTTCTTGTCGGCCTTGTCAGCAAAAAGTTGTTCCTTGGGGTAAGGAAGGAAGGCTGAGATGTTCCTGCCCTGGAGTCCTTCTGTGTCCATCCCAATAAGAGGGTACATGAGGAGGTAGGTGGCAGGAGCTGAGCTGAGACATGGTATCATGTGGATAGCTGCTGAGCTGTGGGGAGAAGCACTCTGGAGTGCCTCCATAAGGCAGTCGATTGGCATGAGGTGAGCAGCAAAGCATGCTCTCTGCCTTTCAGTAAGGTCTTGGCTAGGTGGCGTGGCAAAATAAGGTTTTGTGTTTTTGTTTTTTCTCTGTTTGGGACAGAGTTTAAGAAGTTAAGATGCTTTAAAGATCTGATCTTCTGCATGTAGTTACTGAGCTTTGGTCTAGAGCTAGCTGCCTTCTGTGGAGGACAAAATATTAAATGTATATTGAAATGGTGATCCAGCCTTTTTAGAGGTGAGAACTGCCCTTTAGGTTTGGGACTTGACCTCCATGTATTCTGGCAAGGAAATGTAACTGATGTATCTAGTGTCAGATCAGTCACAGGCAACTTAGGAGGCATACTTCTGGTGCTACCTTTACGCTGCACATCAGCACAAGAGCTCATGTCTGTAAGAACTGGGCTAAATGCAGGCACCATACGTAATACACTTTCAATTTCATACCACCTCTTGTGTTGTGGCAACAGTAGCTTCTCCGGGGCAAAGTCCAGAGGCAGTCAGCAGACTAGACCTGACCTGTGGGCTGTTGTGCGGCCCCTCGGATTGTTTCAGCAAGCTTGAGCTACAGGAGAAGGCAGGGCAGGTTGGTCAGGGATGGTGTCAGAGTAACTGCATCAGCTCTCGTTTCTGAGGAAAGTTTTAATTAACTGGCAAATGGAATTTAAGGTGAAATAGAATAAATAAAGAATTCCTTGGTAGGGGAGAAAAAGATCTTCGAGCTAGGGAATATTTTTAACGGTTTTGAAGAGCTCATCCCTTGTGATTTCTATAAGTGATATTAGGATTGACATTTTTAATAATAGAAGGTTCAGCTAAAATCTTCACCTTCTGTGTTATACTCACCCCATATGTTGATGCTCTATCATGTGTTTTACCACGTGTGCTGTTTGGATGTTCTAAAAAATAATAATCTTGCAGCAAATGACATCTACAGAAAGTGCTGATAAGGAGCTCCAGCATGCTTTTATGTAATACTCTTCTCCATTGTTGAGTAGTATCTCCTACAAATATTTTCTCACAGAACATTTCTGTGGAACTGAAAGTTTTTTTGTTATTTTTTTTTAACAATTTATATTTTGGTGTTCGTCATTCTTTGAAGAGTAATTAAAGTTCTGCGGTGGTGTGTTTGCATTGGTTAGCCAATGCCATCTTCATGGCATGATGTATGAAATGTCATTAACGGGTGCTAGTGTCATCTTTGCTTTAGCTCTGCAATCAGTTTCAGGTACCATCTGATTTTAATTAAGAGACTGCTGCAGTTCTTGGTCCCATTTATAGTTATTTTCAGTGTTGTACTTCAAATGTTCTACCAACTCCTCCTTATTTTTCCAGTGCGTATCAGCAACAGCCTATCCTTTTGGGATCTGGAGACTAAATGCATATTTTCTGGCAGTTTTTTGGGGATGGAGTTGTGGTTGTAGTTTCTTGAGCACCTCTCTGTTAGCCTGCCTCAGGACTGAAGTTCTGATATGGTAGGCTTTTCCGTTGGTCTCAGATATTGCAGGCCAAGTTGCTTTCTGGTGGGTAGCAACAACTGAAGAATGCTTTCTACTTAAATAAGTGTGGAGAAAAGCCTCTTCTAGTAGAATTTAGGGAAAAGAGTAGAACATGCACTTGTAAAAACAGAGGCAAGGAGCATGATAGGGGAAAGCATTAGTTTAGGCCAGTCTTCTGCCTAATGCAAATGCAGTAAGCAGCTCTTTTCAGTAGGAGCAAGTTAGCTTAGAGCCCAGTGGTGCTGTCTGTCTGTCTGTCTTAGAGTAGAATTAAATGCCAAAAAGTAAATATTTTTAAGCAAAGCAAAGGCAAAACTTTGAGGATATACTAAAAAGAACAAAACTGAAGAAACCCTTATATGTACAATGTCCAGAGCAATTTTAAAGTGCCTGAATAGTGTGGTTGGTTCGGCCAAACAGAAATCTTTCCTATTGATTTATTATACCAATTTAGATATAAGCCCTCTGTGCAGAACCGTCAGTTTAATAGAACGGTTTTCTTTCTCCTTTTAGATTTAATCCACATGTTGTATCAACAGAGCCTTTGTCTCTGCTCAGTTATGAGTTATCCTTTTTTAAAAA